CGATAAAAGGTATCTTTTGTTAACCCTCAGAGCCCGACGGCATCGTCCACGACGTCACACGGCACCTCCGATAAATATTTATATAATTTGATGAAAATTGTATCGATTTTCTTACCGTTTTTTCCAGCAGAAAGCTAACGAGCTAGCCATCACGGGGGTGTCTTTGGTGTCTTTCTAGCCTTTACAGAAGGTTTTCTATCCAGCCTGGAACTTGTGCATCCTTTCGGAGTTTTTCAGCAATAAATCCAAACGCTTATATCCAAGTATGAGCCTCTTGATGTCCATAATTTATAAATATTCCGTCATTTTTGCCGCTAGCTCGATGCAAGCTGCCATTTTGGATATCACGTGATGTTTTCACGTGATGGTTGTTCACCAATTACAGGCTGATCCGTCGTAAACATTGGTGCGAGTTTATTTCTCATCGTCACGAACGCACGAACCAAGCTCTGATATTATTGTGGAGAGAGAGACGCACAAAGAGACGCGCGTTTCACAGAGAAACACAAAGAAAAATGGATGTAAATCAGCGCTGGCCTTTTTTGATGCCATGCAGGATGATGGATTTTCAGGAGAACAGAGCTTTTTGACCGATGAGGAACTAGATTAGTGATGTGGCCCTCTTTGTGATTGCTGATAGGAACTGTTTTGGCTTGGCACCAGTGAATTTCATGAGGCCCAAAACTCCTGGACTTCTTTTGGAAAAATGTAAATAGTTTTGGTTCTGTACAAGTTATAATGTTTATTCCTGTGCTCCAGGACTCCAAAGACATGAACACACGGTTTTCCAGAGGAAATTTGCTTAGCTTTTATTTATTTGTGTGTGATTTCAAAAAATATTTGAGTGATTCAATTTCCGATTTATTTTTTCATTTGTCTTTGTGGTCCCATAACTTATTTTACATTCAGGTGACATCAATGCAACACAAATATGCTGAAAGTTCAATTTGTCCTGAAAAAAAAAGGTGTGTGTCAATTGTCTGTGCACAAAAGGGTTGATGTTTTACAAGCTTTTTTAGTGAATAACACCAGACGGAAAATTTATTGTAAAAATACCGTTAGGTCTCTGAGGGTTAATCAGTTTTTGTCCTAACCAGCCACGGCGGCGACACGCTACGATTCTATTTTCAAAACGGTTTCTATTATTCTGCAACGTCGCGCTGGAACAACGAACACAAAGTGTGGCAATGATAATCAGGTACTTTTTATGCTTTATTTAATGTTAAAAGCATGTAATGTGACTTTGAATATAATTTAGTGCTCCCAGCTTTGTAGCTGTAAAAGCAACAATGGATAGTTCACCTCAGATCTTGAAATTAAACAAATGGAAACAAGACCAAGAAACAAGTGTAATATTTGACAAAGATTGTTTTAGTAACTCAGTAGCCCATGTATTTGAATTATGTTTAAATGGTGTAATATTTGTGAATTTGATTATGTAGCCTACCCATCCATTTTCTTGCGATTGCCGTCAAGAATACTCTCTGGTGCTGGGCACTTCCCGCGAGAGCCCGCCCACACGCTGTTCTGATTGGCTGTGAGTTGTTTTAATTGATTTTTACGCATCTCGCAGTCGAGTCGCGTCTAGTGTGGACAGACAAATTATTTTTCGCCTCTTTGTTCCTATTTTCATTTTCAATAACAAAGATCATTTAAAATAACAAAATAACTAATCGTCCATCCCTAGTTTCAAGTGTTTTGTTTGTTTACCTGGATGTTCTTGAGGTCTTACCAAGTTATCCAAAGAGTTGTTGGTATTTAAAAAGTTTTTTTAATATTGATGTTCAAATGACATTGTCAGATATGTGACATTACTTTTTATACTACTAAAACACTGCTTTTCAGAAGTTGTAGTGATGCTTTCTTTTCCCAGAAAGAATGTGAAACACATATATTGGTTATATAATTTTCAGTTATGATTAACATTTATTTTGCACACTTAAAGCAATATTGTATCGCATTTCGAATATCGCACTATTTAACAAGTTATCTTGTTATCTCAAGCTATGGAATATTGCGTTTTTCTTCTCATATATATATATAATATATATATATATATAGATAGATAGATATATACACATGGACAAATATACACGCTACTGTTAAGATGTTTAGGGTCAGTAAGATATTTTACTTTTTTTTTTTTTTTTGCCTTATGCTTACCAAGGCTGCATTTATTTGATAAAAAAATATATATATATATTATGTGCCCGTTTTCTATTTTATTCCATTTTAAAATTCAATTTATTCTTGTAACAGCAAAGCTGAATTTCTGTAACAATGTAAACTGTGACTTTTAATCAATTTAATGCATCTTTGCTTAAATAAAAGTATAATTTTCTTCTTTTTTTAATTCTTACTGACCCACAAACTTTTTAATGGTAGTGTTCTATTATATTAATTACAATTCCTTAATTTGAAATTTAAACAAGCATTGTTTATATTTAATATATTCATATTTGTACTAATACTAAGCTTTTTCAATTCTATAGCATATTCGTTTTTGGCTTAAAAAATAATGAAATTTCACTGCTACTGGTCTCGTGATACAATTTTTGTTATGGCGATAACTCCATTTAAAAGGCTTTTTGGTTCTGATGCCGGAGTTCATTGAAGCATGCAGAGATTTCAGATTAAAATATATTTCTACATTTATACATCAAGATATAGGACCATTAACTGAAATAAGGACATCCAAGTATTTAACAACAATGCAAAATCCCCACTACTGTTTACAAGAGACACACTACTGTCATGACACTCAGAGCATCAATGTTCAGCAGGAAGCAGGAAGAGTTCACACTCCTCTCAAAGCTGTGATCGGGAGTGTGAACTCTTCTCACTGCTGAACATGCTGCTCTCACACCAAATACTGAGTGGCTGGCTGGGACACTAGAGTTGTTAACATCATTTATGACTCATGCACATGTTTGCATAAGGCACACAATAAACATCACTGAGCCTTTCAAGTGACAGATTTTATTAGATGGACAAGATAAAGGGAAATAGGTAGTCTGTATTGAACAAAGCCATGTCTGCAGATTAATAACTCCATCACTAACAGCTTAGGGGTTTTTACTACAATTTCGTACTTTTTTCTAATTAAAGGAAATGAAAGAGAAAGCCAATTAAAAGATCGTTCAATGTCAATCTGGTGGTTTCAAACCAGTTGAGAGTAGTCAATGAACTTGGTGGGTTTTAAAACACAGCTTAGTAACATCCTGTAACTAATACCGCAGATCTTTATATGATGACTGATATTTCCACCAAACTACAGCTTTGTAACTGTCTCCCTTCAGTCAAAGTTCATACATGTTTCCCAAAAGACACATTTCTCCCGTTTTTCTGATTGGTTAAACGTAGGGTTGTCTCACAAAACTCTATAAAAAGTCAGAGTGGACTGTGCATTAAGACTAATGCTTCATATGGTCTGGTTAACTCATGTACGTCACCAATGATGTCCAAAAACGCTGTCTAGGTAGACAGCTCACTGGGTTTTGTGACACAGCCATTGACTCCACTCATCTCTTCGCTTCAAATGCAGGTCAACATAACATAACTTGACTAACGTTACCAACTGCAACTGATAATTTCCCACCAGAGAAAGTGCATCTGATAAGACAACCGATAAGCGTTAAAAGTGAGAGCTGGCCCTCTCGGTCTTAAATTAGACGTCGGTTATTTGAGGTTAGTCAAAAAGAATTCGGCCCTTCTTACCTTTTTAGAGCAGCTGCGCTTTTCCTCGTCAGTTAGCCTCCTCGCGCTAGCGCTGAAACCCGATGACTCTTTCCAAAAGATGACGAGACCAACTCGAGCTTTACAATAACAACATTTTACATCCGTTGAACTCTAACGTTCAATCCTATAGCTAATCTTCTCGGTCTTTTTTAGCAAAACACCTAAAAACTCGACGAATGACAACGTGCCCACCTCCCTGTCTAACAGATTGGAGCAGCGCTGGCTAACGGCTTTGACAATCCGCTCTTCTGATAGGGGAGCTGCGGTGTCAAGATTGCGGAGCTAAGCCCCTCCCCGTGCTCGAAGCGATGAATGCACTGTATTCACACGCTTAACAAACGGACCATTCTATTTGCTGATTCAGCCATCAATCAACTCGTACTGCTACTGGATTGGCTGTAGAACATTATTCTGTGATAATTCCCTCGGTTTGTCAAAATACACGTTCGTACACTGTGTATAAGTACATAGCCTAGAAAAATGCAATACTTTTAGATCAGACCCCTAGCTGCGCTGCTGTTCGTTGTTTATGAGGTTTACTTTTTCGTTGTGAGGTCAGTCGATAGATGATGCAATTAAATGGCTATTGACATAACCCTAAAAGCGATTAATACTCATATTGACAGTAAGTTTATTTCTCTGAAGTTGTCTAAATCATTCGCAAATATCTGTATCTGTTCAATTAATCTAATCTCGTTTCTTTCTATTTTCAGACTACAGTATCAGTATTTATTCAGGGTATAAGATAAGATAATAAATATTAGTTAGTGCTCAAGTTTATGGAATATTCAATACTTTTACATATGTTTGTCTGACCGCTTTATATTTGAGACTTTCATTTACTGTTTTTCTGTATCTTTTATTCGAATAATAAACATGAACTGACGTTCAATGTGATATGTGTATTACAAATTAAACGTAGACAAAATATTCATGAAATCTTATGAGAACAATTCACATATACAGTCAAATTCACTCGCGCAGGTGAAGAAACAGAAACAAATATTTAGATTATGATAGTTAAATAATGTTTTGTTTCTTTCGTATTCGTGAATTACAATTGGTATTTGCATTTGTCGACGTATAATTTACAATAAAGCATTCTTTATCAAATGAACATTTATACAGAAAACAAAGAATAGAATAAACAACCGTTATAAATAACATCTTTCCAAATATTTTGAGGTGTTGTGAGATTTTTGTTTGGTGCTTCCGGCTTAACTCCTGCACTTCCGGGTTAGTGTTGTTGCTGATAAGAGTCGACTGGAGGTCATGTAATAAAGTGTGTCGTTGGTCTTGTTGACTAGTTATCCGTGTAATCCTATGGATACTGCGAAAACAATACTGTTTTAGTAATCGCACTGTGCCTCTTGAATCAGTCATGTCGCAAGCATCGTCTGGATTCACTCCGGGTGCTCAAGTCCCACATGCGTCCAGTAAGGTAACGTTAGGCAGTAAATTCACTAGACAGTGTTTATAAACCAAACATTCTCTCTCTACTGCTGTATCTCATGCAGAAGTACTTCAAAAGCAAAGTGTGTGCTCGGTTTTCTTTTTACAGGATCAATTAGATCGTTTATAGTAGGGAATTTTCAGAGTTTCCTCACGCATAGTTTTGTCTTCTCAGGGTCCTTTTGGGGCTGCTTACATTCCCAATGAAGAAGAGAGGCGTGTCTTCAAAGAGTGCAATTCAGAAAGCTTATGGTACAGATGTGAGTAGTATACTGGACCTTGACTAATATTCAGCAAAACATTTTTGAGCGTTCCTTTATTTTGTTTACTTTGCAAGGTATTGTCTCAAGAGGCTTTGTCTTTGCTTCTGATGAGAATATACTTAAGAAAGATGCTTGTGAACATGTCTGCTCTCTTATTATTTGCAGCCTTGCCATTTTCCGCCATTGCAATGGGAGTCACTCAGGTAATGGTATCAAGAGGTGAGTTCAAGTCCAATATTTCAGTTTCTCTTTACTCATGGTTCCCATTGTCATGGAAAACCTAGAATTATCTGGGAATTGTAGGAACTGGAAAAGTCTTGGAATTAATGAAATCTTAAAAAGTAATGGGAAGTTCTATAGGGAATATACTTTTTTTTTTTACTAGATATGCTATAGCTAGAAATTGCTCTTGAAAGTGTGTTCAATCTCAATTATAATGATTTTTGTTATTGCAAATAACTATAAAAGACAGTTCATTCTTTTTTGTTGTTCCAAACCCATAAGTCTTTCATGCATCTTTGAAACACAAATTAAGATATTTTTAATAAAACGTGATGGACTTCTGTCCCTACTTTGAAAGTCCATTCCACCCAAACTTTGATGCTTCAAAATGTTCATAAAGATATCCTTATGGATTTCTTTATGTAATTTTCTTTATTTATATGAATCGAGTGGTTTAATCCAAGTCTTCTAAAGACACATGATCGCTTTACATGATGAACAGATTTAATTTAGGTTTTTAATCACATATGAACATTGCTCAACATGCATACATAGAGCACATCAAAAATGGAAATGGAAGCAAACATTTTAAGGGTTAGGAATGACATGAGGTAGAATAAATGGACAGAAATTTTATTTGTCTTTAATCTGTAAAAAGGTTAAAAAAAATCTTGTATTGTTATTATTTATCATCAGGAATACTTGCTCCATCACCCCGATTTGGCTCTCTTCCAAAAGTTGCCTGTGAGTATCAAGAACAACAGCCGGTACAAATTTTGTAGAAAGACACTTAAAACCAGGTTATATGAAGATGGAGGACTATTAAAAGGCAACATTTTTTCAAGTTCCACTGAATGTATCTGATTTTTATGCAGTGGCTGGCATATTTGGATACATTGGTGGGAAAATGTCTTACATGAGGGTCTGTCAAGAAAAGTTTAGGAAACTGGAGAACTCCCCACTGGGAGAGGCACTACGACAGGGACGTCTGCCTAACATGGCTTCTGCGTAAGAACATGTTACATGCACAGCATTGCACACTTTTTCTTATCAGTTTCTATATTTTGATATATAATATATATATATATATATATATATATATATATATATATATTTTTTTTTTTTTTTTAGGTACTGAAAATAGATATTTTATCTAACATATCCTTTAAAACAAATATACATTTATTATTTAAGTAATTCACTTTAAGACAAGTAATTTTTACACACAATAATAATACTTTTTTTTTTTTTAAGGACAAACCAGTCAGAATTTTCAGAGCTAAACACATCAGAATCTCAACAGTCTGGTTCTGAGTCTGTTTCTCAACCTGCAACAGAAGTCAGTTCTATGCCTGAGAGCTACAGCAGTTACACAAGTGACTATACCTACAGCAGCCCCTCCCAATCATACGACCCCACTCCTTTTAGTTCTGGATTCAGTGATTCTGGTCCCGTTAACATCAGGGATGATAATTCTTCTCAAGGTACTGCCACCCTTGCACATGACCACCAGAACAACATGTATAATCATACAAACTTCTATAAACAAATATAAATTGGCAAAGAGGAAGGACATGCGTCATTGAATAAGAATTTGTCATCTGATTGGTAGATGTTTAACAAGTAGTTTACATTTATCCCAAAGCGCCGTTCTATCCAGATGAGGATGTGCCTAAGAAGAAGCCAGTGTTGTATGAGGAACTGCGTAGCAAGAACAGAGAGAACTATGAGGTCACTCTCACACAAAAAGCTGAAACACTGCTGAAACCACAAAGAGAGGTGGCGGCACCTAAGGAAGGTGAGCTTCAGTAACTGATTTCCCTAAAATTTGTATAAGTCTATAGCAACAATGATTTGTGAGACCTATAAGGATTCTAAAAGCCAGTAAAGTTAGGAGTTAGCCTTATCTTGTTGAATATTTAACATATAAATGTCAAAGCATCCATGAAATAATTCAGAAACTGTTTTGTATTGGATTGCCAATTGATGGCGAATACACTAGTTAAAGGGATAGTTCACCCAAAAATAAAGACTGTCATCATTTACTCAGTCATGACCGAAAGAACGAGATCGCGGGTACAAGCGGCCGAAATGGGTTTCCTCAGGCGGGTGGCTGGTGTCTCCCTTAGAGATAGGGTGAGAAGCTCAGCCATCCGCGAGGAGCTCAGAGTAGAGCCACTGCTCCTTTGCGTCGAAAGGAGCCAGTTGAGGTGGTTTGGGCATCTGGTAAGGATGCCTCCTGGACGCCTCCCTAGGGAGGTGTTTCAGGCACGTCCAGCTGGGAGGAGACCTCGGGGAAGACCCAGGACTAGGTGGAGAGATTATATCTCCACACTGGCCTGGGAACGCCTTGGGATCCCCCAGTCAGAGCTGGTTAATGTGGCTCGGGAAAAAGAAGTTTGGGGTCCCATGCTGGAACTGCTGCCCCCGCGACCCGACCCCGGATAAGCGGATGAAGATGGATGGATGGATCATTTACTCACACATATGTAGTTCCAAACCTGTATGAATTTCTGAGAAAGAAGCACAAAAGAAGATATTTTGAACAATGTTGGTAATCAAAACAGTTGATGGTAGCAATTGACTTCCATAGTATATATTTTTTTCCTACTGTGGAAGTCAATGGCTACCGTCAACTGTTTGGTTACCAACATTGTTCAAAATAATTTATTTTTAGTTCAACAGAAGAAAGAAACTCATACAGGTTTGGAACAACAATAAATGATGACAGAATTTTTTATTTTTGGGTGAACTATCTATCCCTTTAATACTTCCAGTGACATGACTGATGAAGATGCATAATGATATGGCATCTGTATGAACATTGCCGTTAATAATTATTTGGTAAGACTTTACTGTAAGGTTCCACTATATTAGTTAACATGAACCAACAATGAATAATACATCTAAATATCAACACTTACTAATACATAATTCAAAATGTGTTATTTTATAGACCTGAGCTAACATGAAATAACAATGAAGTTTTATTTTTATTAACTAAATTTAATGAATATTGATAAATACTGTAACAAATGTATTGCTCATTATTAGTTAATGCATTAACCACTGTTAACTAATGGAACCTTTTTGTAAAATGTTAGCAATTATTTAATAATCTCAATGTCCTTGTATCTTTTAATCCATAAAGCGTTTTTTTCTTACCTCTCCAGTTAAAAAGAACCAGTATGGAGATGCTTGGGAAGAGTAAGAGTGACCTGGAGAATCAACTGTCTGAAGAGCTCAAGATCCATACGCAGTGACTTGTGTGGAGTTGTCACGCCTCGTTCTGCCAGATCAGACCAAAAGCTGCAATCAAACGCTGAACTGCTGAAGATGATTGTATTTTAAGGAGCAAAACGTAGTTTGGGAAATGATTAATGCAAACTTGTTAGAATAAAAATGCTTTTGATGGCATATGTGGTTTGAAAACAAATGTTTATCTTCTTGGCTTCTAGCTTTAAGTGGATTTAAGCTAAATCATTTGAACAAAGTATCAGTGTTTTATTGATTAGAACATTGTCCAAATATGCTTGAGATTTGTTAATAAATAAATACAAGTACTTTAGATACGACATTCTTCAATATAAACCCAGGAAAATGGGGATGGAAGAAAAGCGTCAAAGTTGATATATCCACTGAAATTATAGTCCAGACAACATTAAAGCTGTGCACAAGTGACGATTATGACAGTGTTGTAGGTTAAGACAGTAGAGGTATTTAGACTTGGACCCATGATAATAATGACAGCATTCACTGATGTTGCAGTTATTACAGTCATGTCCTCTGAGCTGGAGATAAAGATATACATGTTCTGAGGTTTAAAGTCTTTCGTTTTTTTATTCTTTTGATTAAGATTCACAATTAAATGTTAAATTCAATTAAAACCTGTGATAAATGTAATTCATTCACTGTACTTTGAATCCTTGTTTGTGAAGGTAATTATGTATATATATATATATATATTTGTTTTGTTTTTTTTGTTGTAAAGGAGTCTGTGATCTGGATGACTTCTTTCTGCTGTACAATATTATGATTCAACTCAAAAGGCAACTCTTTACTGTCATAAAATTGAACTGAAACCTCCACTCCCTCTACTTAGTAAACAAAGAATCAGAAAAGTTGAGCAAATATTGGTTTATAACAATATGAGGTTAGTCTCTTTCCTGGAGGAAGACTTGAGCTATACCCCCGGAACTAAATTAAGGCTTAATTCAAACCTACCATGAGGCAGGTTTAACTTATTATTAACGTTGTTTCTCAAAGAAGACATGTTTTACCAGTACTTAGTCTAAGATAGATACATACAGTCATGGTCAGAATTATTGGCACCCTTGGCAAATATGAACAAAAAAATCAGAAAAAACAACCTTTCATTGAAGTAAAAAAAAAAAAAAGTAAAGTAAAACAACTGAAAATTTGTGAAGCTCAACAATCTTTCGCTGCACATCAGAACTATATTCTTTGGTTTTACTCATTGTGGTGGATGATTTAGGGAATTTGACCTTTTTGTTCCCTCTTATTAATAGTCCTGTAAAACAGGAAGTCATGGCTGGACAATTGTACCCTGGTGTGCTAAAAATTGTAAATATGAATAGGAATATACTTCAGATATTTTACTCAAGAGTCCCTCCCACCTCACACTTTCATTTGTTTTACTTGTTGAGAGGTTTGTTAGTTTTTTAATGAAAGATCAAAAGGATAAACAATACAGATTTATTGCGATCCTTTTCTCCCATTGTTCTCCTTGGATTAGCTTCTCAGTTCCATGCAATTTTAAGATTTTATTGGTTAATTTCCTGTTTTATTGGCAACCTCTGTCATGGTAATTCAGATTATCACAGTTGGTTTTAAATTAATCTTGTTTATTTTAATTCATAACTTAGGTGTTAGTTGATCTGTGTTTCAGAAAGCCATTTAAGCCACGATTCCAGATTAAAGGCTACTTAGTTCTGTCTTAATTTAAACCCTGTCCGGGAAACCGTCCCTATAAGAATTTACAAAGAAGAGCATTATGCTTATTCTTATGAGGTGGATTCATTAGTACCAGATTTAACACTACTTGAGAACATCTACAATAGCATAAATTCCTTATTGATTGTTCCCTCAAATCCACCTCATGCACAAACACCACAACTATTAGTGCTAAAACATCGCTGCCATTTGACACATCTACTATAGCTGCAGTGTCTTGGCGCCCCCTGCTGGTTAGTTAGTTTTAAGGTCCATTCAAGATGATTTCAGCTGCTTTCTTTTGCGTCATTTTCAAAGAAGAAAACATTTTATTTATTTTTTATTAGAAAAAAAAAAAAAAATACATAGAGTGATGAGCAGTGTCCCGTTGATCCTGCAACAGAAAAACGAATATATTTACCTTTAGCCTTGATTACACATAGCCTTTGTTATCCTTATGAACAACGCCAGAGTGGTAGGTGTGGTTTAGCGTGCGTTGACTTGACTTAGGTGGATCTTTTGTGTTTAGATATAGCGTGTGTGTGTGTGTGTGTGTGTGTGTGTGTGTGTGTGTGTGTGTGTGTGTGTGTGTGTGTGTGTGTGTGTTGTTTTTATTTAAATTTTTTTTTTTTAAATACCTCAACTCTGAGTGGGTGCATTAGGCCGCGGCGCTGTTGAAGCTTGTTCTTCTTGTTGCTTGCACTTTTCACACACATGGATGCAGTGTCTGTAGGAAACCATGAACAGACATTACTAAAAATTGATTTCAGTTCCCATCATGCAACACGTTAATGACATGTATAATCCACACATTTTTATACTTACTTATGTCCAGGTCTATAACCACCTGGTCCAAATCCAGAAGGACCAAAGCCTTTTGTGAAATCTGGTCCCAGTTTATTAATGAACTTCTCTTTGCAGGCCCCAGTATATGACGCTTTGCCTACTGCATAACCCACAATACCCGCCACTGCAGAGGAAAGTAGATTGATGAGTTTGTATTTCAGCTGTATATTGCCACTGTATCGATGATACAAAGCATGCATAATAATATGAGGTGGGAAATTTCATTATTATTCAAAAGCGACTTACAAAGCAGTTTTGGGAAATACCCAAATCGCTTGGACTGTTTCCAGACACCTATAAAAGCAGTAAATTACAAACTGGATTATCTGTTTTCAATTCATCAAAATTAAAAAAGAAAAAAATCAGTGAATTAAAGACTTTATAAGGGCTGTTCATACAGAAAGCATTTTTCAATTCCACTACGTTGCTTTTCCATTCTTGTTCTGTGTAAACATGAGCTAGATGGAAATGTTGCGATAATCTCTGCACCCAAGTTAAAAGTTGTTCCACTACCTTCGTTTTAAACAAAAATGCGTTCTGTGTGAACCCTATAGGCTATTTAAAGAATAAGTGTTTCATTCATAAATGCATGACTGACAGACTGTTGTAACCAGAGTTTTTTTAGTACCGTTGCCCCTGAACTCTATGTCTAAAACCCAACAGCTTTGTGTTATGAATGCTTTTTCACAGACTGAATCTTACCGCTGTATATGAGGCCACCAGTCACAGCCACGCTCCCGGTAGAGAGCGGAAGAGCTGTGGAGACATTAACAGGTCAGAGGTTAAAAAGCTACATTATGATTCCAAATTCAATATCTAAATACCAAATGGTTCCAACACCCATTTTTGGAAATGGTTCCCGCTCTCCAAAGGGGATGGTTGGATAAAAGGGTGCTTATAGAAGTGCACTGACGATGGTAAAGGAAGCTACAGTATACCGATCAATATCTCATATCTTACATTTTTACCTTCTGAGATTTGGTCTCAATGGAGAACTGGGTCACAGATCACTGTCAGCGGCAAACAACTGGCAGAGTCAGACTAAACTTGAGGCTTATGTTTCCCCCAACACAAACAGTGCTAGGGTTAAACCAAATTCAAAACATAAGCACTGGATAATAAATGCACCACTGTTTTACTCCATTGGCTCTTGTTTTGGACAAACATTCTTGAAAATACATGTACCTGTCAAATCCCTTTTTACCAAAGCAAACAACCTGTGAAGATCATTCAGAGGGGAACCTCTTGATATGTTTTGACTTATTTTTCACCTAAGACATTATACAAATTGTGTAACTGAACTGAACAGAAACATCATATCAGGTCTATTTCCATTAAAAGATTAGTTCACCCAACTTAAATTCACAGCTCATTTACTCACTCTCACCCTTTCTTTTCTCTGTGCAACACAAAGATTGAGAAAAATGTCTGTTTTTGTTTCCCATATGTGGTAACCAAACCTGTTTGACCAACCAAATTGATTCAAAATATCCTCTTATGTGTTTCAAAGAAAAAAGAAAGTAATACAAGTTTGAAGCAACATGACTGTTAATGATGATGGCATTTTATGGGTGAACTATCACTTTAAGGGATAGTATAAATGAGTACATATTTCTTTACCTCGATACCAGAAGCTCTCGTACTGACAATCCTTCCATATCTGCTTCATATCTTCCCTGGGAAAGCGTCGATCGGTTATGGGGCATTGGAATTGCTATAACAGCAAAAAGGTCAGAAGAAAGTAGTCCTGAATATTCCTCTCCTTTCAATGAACTTTAGCAACATGCATTACTGTTGATTAGATGACAGGAACTTAAATGTATAAAGTTGGCTCAACAAAACATTGTTTGAAAGAACTTGTTTCTTTCTTATTGTACAGACCTAAACTAATTCTGTGTAAATGTTAATTTAATTTAAGACAATTAAAATAAACTTTAACAAAGTTGTATTCATTATTATTATTATATGTAATGTATAGAATAAACAGACAAGAATCTTTAGTATAATTGTTACTCACTCATTGAATCAAAAAACGTAGCCTAAACACAAGCACCACTCTTCAGCACAATGGTAACCACAAAATAATCATAAAAACATTACAGAAATGTCCTACATAACTGATTATTAAACACCAACATGTTTTTCCCTTTACTGAAAAACACATTAAAAAACAGCATGATAGGAATTACAGATCCACTGTCCAGTTAGTTGTCATCAGAAAAGATTAATGTATAGTCCCAACACAAATGGATTAAAAAACTTGCATTTTAAATTTATTTGGGGGTGATTTTCTTTTCTTCAGGAAGTCACAACCATTTATCAAGCTATTTCCTATGTTAAACAATCATCACGTGGTTCTTTCAAGCCAGGTGGCTGCTTTCAAAGGATATTCTGTAGGCTACATTCTAGCACATTTGTAAATGCATCTAAAATCTACAAAACCCAATTTACATCTTTCTGTCTTTCTGTGTAAACATGGTGACCACTATACAGAAGATGCAGGCCTGGTATCACAAAGTGCAGTGAACACCTGGTTACTATCAGGCTGCATGCTATCAACCACATGAACATTGATCTGAACTAACATTCAGATGCTGTAAATGCATTTAACAAGCTATTAAACACTGACACAAAGAACACTGCTCTCCACCAAGACCCACATTAATGCTAAATATCTTATTTTTTATTCAATGTTAAAAGACACATGAATATTTAGCTGCAGTCTTTTTAAAAGATAAACAAACCTCTCAACACTCTCCTACCTTCCACCCAGACTGGCCGGGTTTCGTGTCCACCGGTCCTTCTGCTTCTGTACTCTGATGTTCTTCTGTGGTCATGTCTTTTTCAGCCATGTCTTCCTCTCTTTTCTCTTTGTCTGTTCTGTTTCTTCTGTTTCTACTACGTATTTCTGCTGTTTTTCTTTTGACCTGCTCATTGAGCTCCTCCTCTCCATTCCCTAACTTTGTACATGCACCTCCCTTTGGGGGCAGTGCTGTGATGTCCTGTAGTACAGAGGGCTGCTTTCTGTGAACATTGTTTCAACCCAAATGCAACGTCATGGTTACCCAGCAAATTATTACATGCACATGAACACTGTGCTATTTTAATTCAATCACTGAATTTATTGTTTTTAGTTGAAACTGTGTATTTGAAATTATGAATAAAAATATATGAACCTAATGATTTGATACTTTTCCCAATTCTGCATGTTTTTTTTGTAGCGGTCACATTACATCAAATGATGTAAAAGACCTTAGAGTGCTGGTGTTTTACCAATGTCAAATGTCCCCTTTCAATGTCATTTGAGTTTTTTGAAGTGTGCCGATTTCCTGTTTTGACACATCGTGTCAGCAACCTCACCTCTGTCCAACATTCACTGCCTACTCTGATAAATCTTTATCGCACAATTTCGCCCTATAGATAGACGCACCCTTGGATACATTCACACCGCCACAATTCACTCTGTATCTGTCATTTTCATAAACTTGAAAGAATAGGGGTTATACTTGCACTGCTCAAAAAAAAATCTTTTAAACTTTAGCATTCGAAGACCTGACCAATCCAAGAAAGACATTTTGAAGACACTTGTTATTTTCAGCATAAATCAGTAGGAAGAAGAAGAGAAGAGAGAGGCAACATAAATAGATTGTAAGAGAAATAAGGGTGCATCAACTCAGATTTTTAATAGCTTTCATGCATTGGCAAGGAATTATGTACAGGCTATTTTATACCTAGACGCTGTACTCAGAGGTGGACAAAGTACACAACTTCCTTACTTGAGTGGAAAGTACAGATACTACTGGTCAAATATTACTCTGTTACAAGTAAAAGTTGTAAAGACCGAATTTTACTTAAGTAAAAGTACAGAAGTACTTGTTTTTAAAAGTACTCAAGTATCAGAAGTAAAAAGTAAATGTCAATGCATTGTTTTATTATTGTTGCAGTGTTGCATGTAGCTTATGCCTCTGATTCTATGCCTGCCTACCCTCATATCAATATCAAATTTATTTCTAGAACACAGTTCCAGTAGTGGGATTGAATGTGAGATTGAATAAGTGCACTCAATAACGTCCACAATGGTTTCGCACACCCAGATGGCTGTTCCTAGGGCTGGGCGATATGGCCAAAAAAATGTATCACGGTATTTTTTTTTATATCAGTCGATATCGATAATTATCACGATAAATGTCAAATCTTTATTTCTTTCAAGTTTAAAGGCAGATTTTTGCTCCTAAGTGAAAGTTGTATAAACCAGAGCGTTGTGGTTTTAAAAATCTGAGCTAGAACATTCAAACATTTGTCATTTTTCCTTAACAAAATAAATATCTGAAAAAAAATAATTTCTTCAGCACAGTTTGCAGTGCAGGCTGCAATATTCAAATTACATGTTTTGTCTCGAAATGCATATTTGACAGTGAGTTGACAGTAAATCTACATCCTCACTCAAGCTAATGCTACTATGTTAAATTTATGTTCATTAACAAAAACAGTAACATCTGTTTTTTTTTTTTTTAAGCCACACCATGCAGAAATTGTGTTTTTGTCAAACAGCGACCCCTATAGTCGCTGTGGAATACTTGCACTGTCGTAAATAGCTAGCTAGACATATGTGGAAATTACTGGACAGGTCTAATTATCAACAATGGATGAATGAACAGCATCGTAAAAAAATGACATACTACAAGCAAGCGCAACAACATAGAACGCAAACAAGTTTAGAAATAAGAGATTTATTTACTAGTCTATCAACAAGATAGCCAGGTCAGCATCGCTGTTGCATCCAGTGCTGCTTTTTAGCTCGCGCCCACTAGTGAAAGCCCGACCGAGTGGGACTGTCACAACTCTGAAGGAAATAGTCAAAGGATTCAGTTGCGAGTAAACAGTAATTTATTGAGCACAAAAGTAGATAGCCGTGTGGGTCAAAATGGAAGCAGGCAGAAGAAGACTCAGGCTCGGAAAAACAGGGACGCAGTGGGCAGACACATATGCAGGAACAGGTAGAAATTCCTCCGGGAAAATCTCAGGAAACCACTGCATGGGTACAGGAGTGGAATGCAGGAGAACACGGTGAGTAGAACCCTGGTAGCCTCAACTACCATCTGACATAGACAGGACGAGGTAAAAAAACAATATATCGGACATCCTCATTCAAAACAGCTGGCGCTCATCAGCCGCGCTGATCAGCCGCGCTCACTCACACAACACGCACACACATAGCGAGGGCGAATCAGGGACTCTTTTCCAGTTCCTCACGCGGTCAGATTCTCTTTTCCTTTTCCCAGTCTCTTCCGACCGTGTTTTCTTTTCTTTTTCCATCGTCGAGTATCACGTCTGAAATGCACGCAAGTGTCTTCGTGCTTCATATATTGTTGTTGATGTGTGTGTGACGTCGTTGCCGTAAAGCATGTCGTTATTCTCGCGAGATTTGTCGGGGGCGCTCCTCTCAAACTTGCATTGCTGGTTTTTACAGCGGCGTCCCCCCCAAGCTTTACTACCAGGATGATTCGCCCTACTGTGAGTTTGTTTACCACCGAAATGACTTTGAAGCTGTTATATTAAGGTACAATTCTTGCATAGTGTGCCTTTAATTTAAGGACCACATTTTTATTTGGTAAAATGTAATATTCTGACTGTTTGAGTTTTATTAAAATGAACCATTGGTCATCCAGTATCATGCATTTAGATCATGATAACCACAGATAAAGCCAGGTACAGCCTATGGCACCTCACTATCATGGCAAAATGTAACTTTATGGTTTCTATGGTATTTGTATGAAAAACTGTAGCCTAACAGTTAAATACATTATGAAATACTGTAATTATATTCCATTAGTCATTTAATACATTGTCTACATTAATAATATTATACAATTCAATATGTATATCCCACATTTCATGGTGCAGTTAATATTACTAGGCTAACGTTACAGTAAATCCATGGTAGGCTAAATGGATTCAGTATCAATTCAGATTCTGACTGTTTCGCTGCGCAGTGTTTCTCCTGTTTGTCAGAGGTGTTTCATCTGCCTTTAAACTGATTTAAACTGGACATTTGTGTTCTTCGCTGAACTTAAGCGCTTCTCACTTGATCTCGTGAGCGAGACGATCAGAGTAAACGCGTCTGCTCTAGTGAGCTCGCGCTGCGTTTGGACTTTGAGCCGAGCGGATAAACGGTCCGTGTGGCGCGCGGTTCAAATGAGTTTCGTTCCGCTTTTGGCGCATACACATTATCGAACATTTATCGACCTCTTGATATCGTTTTATCGAGAAAAATTATATCGCGATAATTATCGTTATCGTTTTATCGCCCAGCCCTAGCTGTTCCCTCAAATAGTGCCCTATTTAAAGTTTTTTGGCTTTTAGTATGAATATGTTAGCATTAACGTAAACGTAGCCAGTGTCAATTTCGCTCGCTCCTGTTGTGTGTCCTCAGTCTGGCAACCTGCGTGAGCGTCGAGTCTGAGGAGGAGGGGGCGGGGTCAACTCTCTCCAATATTACATACTGCACCTTTAAGGCGGTCCCAGACTAAAATGCAGGTTTGAGCTGTTTTAACGGAAAGCAACTTGCATTGATCTATATTAAAATATGTCAATGCCATTGTTTTGTCTCAAGATGCACACAGTAATGTTTTTTTCTAAGGCACGTTTAATAAAAAAAAAATAAAAAAAAGGTTTTTAAAGGTTTACATCTTGCCCCTGTAGGCCTATATCTAGTTTGTTACAGCACCATGTTGCTGCTTGACCACTAAGATCCTCTCAAACCTTTGAAATGTTCCAAAATCTCGGTTAAAAACTAATGCCGAGTTCAGACTGCACGATTTTCAAAATAATCGGGTCACTGTTGTTTTCACACTGCATGATTATCTGGGGTAACTTTCAGTTGCTGCTGTGTTCACACTGCACGATGGATCGGCGACAGGAGTTTTCACACTGCATGACTTTACAAAAGAAAGAATCACCGACAACTTCTGCCTGGTCCGCAAACTACGTTTCACAACCAAACAAACGCGAGAAGTGATAGGAAATAACGGAAGATCACGCGTGCGTGAGACCGGAGTTCTCGCGCGACACTGAATTTGTTATTAAAAAAGATAGCCTACAAATTGTCTGTGCACTGATTTGTAGCGAAAATGAAAAAGAAAAAAGAAACAGTTTATGCAGGAAATGGTTGGGAAGACGAGGGGAGCAAGGACTGTGTTTTGCAAAGAGAGTTGGGGGTAAATAAATAATTTTGCAAATGTCCTGCTGTTGCTACTGGTCACGCAAATGTTTGTGCTTTGTTTCTGTTTGATATTTACACATTAAATCCTTTGATTCCATTGAGTGTTATAAATCTAGGTTGAAGACGCATCTCTTCTCTGCTGCTATTAACTGTGGTTTATTTAGTGCTTTGTTTTGTTTTATGGTGTGTTGATATGTTTTGTAAGGTTGGGTCTGTAAAGCACTTTGGTCAACTCATGTTGTTTTTAAACGTGCTTTAGAAATAAAATGATTGATTGATTGATTGATTGATTGATTGATTGATTGATTGATTGATTGAAATGTCCTAATTGAAGGCCTAATCCTGGCTTAATCCAAGCCTTGTTTGTGAAACCAGGCCATAAGCAGTCATCAAAAGCTTGGAAATGAAACAATTTCTCTCCACACTCATACTATGGATTAACCAACATCTGCCATCAAAGAACAAGACTATATTTAAAAAAGAATGGTTAGATAAGGGAATTATTTTTGTTTCAGATTTGCTAAATAGTAATGGTGAGGTTCATACTTATCAACAATCTTCCTTCTCAGGGATTGTGTCTTCACCTGATTACCATTTGCTTGTGAAAAGCATCTCATCTAAATTGATTCACCTTGTGAAAACACA